AAAAAACAAGTGGAGGGGCCAGGGAGATGGCTCAGTAGAATATGCACTTCCCTTGCAAGTACAAGGGCCTGAGTTCAATCCCCGGTTCTGAAAAAACACAAGTGGAAAGTGTTAAAATTCGGATGAATTCTGTAGTGTTGAATTGAAATTAGGGCAGTAATATGAACTCATTGTTTTCAATATAGATATAAACCAGTATAGATATGTATGTAAATGTTCACTTACATTTGTATCATTATTCCTCTATCTGTTAGAAACTTTATTTATTTTTGGTGTTTTTTGGGACTCGAACTCAGGACCTTGCACTTGCCAGGCAAGTGCTGTACCACTGAGCTATATTCCCAGCCAGACAGGTATTTTTAAAATGTCCTAATAGTACTGAGTACATTTAATTTCAAGATTTTACTAAATGCCATTTATTCTCCTATTAAAGTAGCTAGAATTCCTGGAAGAAGAGTTTAGTTTTGAGGCTAGAGCAAGAAAAGAACCAAATGAGCCTTTTGCACAGCTTTGTCAGAAGCTAAAATTTACCTAGAGTGGTAGGGCTGTGTCTAGAGGAAATCAGAACCAATTGAAGGGTTCCTTGTTAGCCAAATTTGGGGTGATACGAGCATAAAAATAAATTATAATAGAACAGTCATGGAATAAAATGATAGTCATTGAGACTAACTTGATATAAATCATTGAGGAAAAAAAAAGCTTTTTCTTAAATACCAACTGTCATAAAATCACGTTATAATAACCATTGTGTAATGTTACATAGTTCCAAAAATATCTCCCTATGAATGACTTGCAAATTACTTATTCATACAAAAGGAATAATAGTAACTTTATAGTGAGTTACTTTATCAGGCACAATTTTAACTAAGTAATTGAAGTTGCTATATCCAGTGATAGAGCAGATGCTTGCTTACTGACATGTTTTGAGAAAGACACATTTCTTTCATAAATCTGCCAAAGTAAGTCATGAGGAAATACAAAAAAGTTAAGGAATATTTTACTAAATTAGTATGTATAAAAATGTCATAATAAAAAATAATGTCTCTAAGCTGAGGCATTATTCAGAATTACAGAAGGACAGAGACAAGACAGCTAAATATGTGTAATCTTATATTAGTTTGTGGATCAGGAGAAAGGAAGGAAAACTAGGAAGGTACCGTTGGCTGAGTTGGAATATGGAGAGAGAGAGAGAGAGAGAGTGTGTGTGTGTGTGTGTGTGTCTGTATGTCTGTGTGTGTGTCTGTGTGTCTGTGTGTGTCTGTGTATAACAAGATCTCACTGTGCCAGCTGGCCTTGAGCTCACTTTGTAGCCCAAGTTGTTCTCGAACTTATAGTAATTCTCCTGCTTCAGCATCCCAAGTGCTGGGATTACAGGTATGCATTACCATGTCTGGCTATATGGATATAGATTAGATAATCAGTGTCTTAGTTACTTTTCTTATTGCTGAGACAAAATACCTGGCACATAAAGTAAAAGGAAGAAGGCTCTATTTAAGTTTGTAGAGATTTCAGTCAATTAATAGCAAGCTCCAAGGTAGGGTGGCATTGCAGAGGGGCATCGCAGAGGAAAAACAGTTCATGGCAGGCAGAAGACAACAAAAGCAGCAAGTGGCTAGCAGCAACAATTGCACTCTTTCTGCCCCTTTTATATTCTATCTAGGCTACCAGGCTTAGGGCCGATGCAAAACCAATCAGTGGACGGATCAGACATTTTTAATCCCAGCATCACACTTTCTAACTCTAGCCTCTCTGAAAAAACCCTCACCTATAACTGCATGAGGCTTTGAGGATACATCTAGACACAATTCATAACAATCAGTGTTGAATTTCTGTATTTTGACAAAATGTACTGTGGTTATGTTAGAGAAAAATCCTTGTATCCTTGTTCTGAGGAAAGATATATTGAAGTATTTCCAGAATAAAATGTACCTATACTTTGATCTCAACAGTTGTTGGAGCTGGGGCCAGGGAGATAGCTCAGTAGAATAAGTGCTTGCCTGGAAAGTGCTGGGTCCTGAGTTCAATCCCTGGTACCGCAAAAAAATTAAAAAGATTTAAAAATTTAAAAATTAAAACAAAAATTGTTGGAGTTAATCATAAGGAAAAGTATGTGCCAAGGTGAAAATGCTGAATTTTGCTATGCAAGGTAGAAAAAGTCAGAGAAAGAGAATATATTAAGAGTTCTGTTTGGAAGTGTTAATTTTGAAATTTGTAGTAGGCATCCAAGTAGGAAGCTAAGTTCTTTTGTGGCCTAAGTAACAGATGCGTGTCAGACTGTACTGCCATCCCAGCTGGGTCAACTCGTGTTTGGTGTATTGCTCTGTCTACCATCTGGACTTTATTTCCCTCCTGTGTGAAATTATGCGTAGCTTAATCTTGTTTCTGCTTTTTTGTTTTACTTATTTTTAGCTGGTCTGAATCAAAAGATAATTACCTGTGTACCATGGAATAGATCGAGAAGCTTACTTTACATTTCTCAGCATTTAAAAGGGAACCATAGTTTACTTCCCAGTAGCAAATATTTGATGAGCCAAGATGAATGCAAATAAATGCAACTGTCTCACTTTTCAGATATCCACACAGAAGCAGTTCAAGCTGCCCTGGCAAAGCATAAAGAACAAAAGATGGCTTTACCCATGCCCACCAAGAGGCGGTCCACATTTGTCCAGTCCCCCGCGGATGCCTGCACACCTCCTGGTAGGTTTGTGAGGACCTTTGCCCTCTGACAGTTACTCTTGTGATATTTCTGAGATAAAGTCTGCCTTTTTTCTCTGAAAAAAGTAGAACTGGAACACTCTACATATCATTAGAGGTATATGAGAAGGTGGCAGAGTTTGATTATTGCCACATGTAAACAATGCATAAAACAGAAGCCTTAGGAATAAAACTATCTGAAAACAAAACAAAAAACCTTTCCTTCTGACTTCTCACCATTTCCTTTGCAATCTTCAAACCCATGTAGTCTAAATAAATAAAGGCCAAGCCTGCCCTATCTTATGTTTTCGTGGGCACCTGAAATACGACCTAAGCCAGAAGCAGTGGCACAGACCTGTAATCCGAGCACTTGGGAGGCTGCAGCAGGAGGATTGCCGTGAGTTTGAGGCCAGCCTGGGCTACATACTGAGTTTTGGGCCAACCTGAACTGTATAGTGAGAGCTTGTCTCAAAATAAAAACAAAAACAAATCAAGGTCATACATTTAATTTATCTATATGCCTAAATCTGATGCTTCATCTCTGTTGCAGGCGTTGAAACAGATGGACTTGGGACAGAATTTTGTGTGTCATTAAAAGATTATGGGAGAGTACCCATGCATATTTGTAAAAGATCTAAAAATATGTTTTTGGTGTAAATATGCTTTATATATGTTTATATGTTCATGAGAATCTACCTTTTATAATGGAGTCCTGAGATTAGTGGGAACTAGGCATCTTTATCCCATACCCACTCACTGGACTTGAAATCTTTATTCTCCGTCACAAATACAAGTTACAATGTTGAAAAAGAAAAAAACGTTACAACTTCACATTTGGGGAACAACTGAAACAGCCTTAAACTATCTTATTTATTCAGAATTTCCCTCAGAGTTTTTCAGAAACCTCAGAAGTTTTTTACATCAAATCCCAGACAAGATTTTGATATAGGCCTCTCAAAATAAGTATGATAAAATCTATTTCAGATCCTCAGTATAGTGTCTGTCTCTCTACTGTTGTGTTACTGCTCGTGATTTTTTTTTTTTTTTTTTTTTTCCGGAACTGGGGGTTGAACTCAGACCCTTGAGCTTGCCGGGCAAGTGCTTATTCTACTTTGCCATCTCCCTGGCCCCGATGAAATCTTTAAGTGAAATTTTTGCCCATACTGTTGTGACCTACTTTTGGGAGATTCCTATGAAGTCATATTGTTGTTACTGATTTTTATTCATAGTTGTCGTATTGTTGAACTATTTATACTGATCCTATTCACTGATTCAGATTTAATATTAATAGCTTTTGTCTAGATTTCGGCTAACTTCTCAGCATTTGAGTGTGCTTGAGATCATTAATGGTTTGTACTTTTTTCTTCACATCCGTGGTGTTAATATGTTTGAAATAGAAATAGCTCTGTGGCTTCAAGTGTTTCTCTAAATATAACACAGGACACCTCTAGGCTAGCATCATAATAAGGCTTTTTGAGTCTGTAGTGGTGCGTACTTCAAACCCACTCTCGTTCACAATCTTGGACGGGTTCCCTTCCACATTAGTACAGTAAAGTTGGGTCCCTGTAGACAAAGGGGGCTCTTAGTTTAGTAACCATTCCTTGTTGGCAGCTTCCACTGCAGCTGAGGGCTTAGTTGCAGTAAATGGCAAAGGGTAGGGAGCAGCTTGATGGGAGGCTCTTAGAAACAGTCCTCTCAAAGGCTGTGTAGTTACACAGTAAATAGGCTTCTCTCATGGCTTTGGGTTAAGCGTGAGAGTACACGAAAGGATCTTGAGAAAGTGGAGATAAAGTGGAAACCTTTCTAATCTCCCAGGGCCTGAGGGAAATTTAGCAGCTCTAGAAACAAATCTCAGCTGTTGTTGCTGTATGAGACCGTAGTCTTTTGGAATTTACTATAGGCTTCTGTGTTTTTAAACAGTAATGTTCTGCTCTGTCTAACCCTTGAAGACGTAGTATAAATGTTCTTTTTGGTTGCTGGGGTTTTAATCTTTTTTTAATTTAATTTTTGAGGCAGGGTCTAACTATATAGTTCAGGCTGACCTTGAACTTACTATGTAGTCCAGGGTGGCCCCAAACTTGAAGTAATCCTCCTGCCTCAGCCTTCTGAGTACTGGAATCATCAGCATGGGCCACAACACCCAGGGTTATAATGTTCTTGGTCACTGTACATATCTTAATAATTTCATGAATGCAGAGATGTCCTGTCTCCTAAGATCTGTATTCTGCAGAGCAGAGTAGTACAAATTCCTTGTCTCCTCTTCCTGCTCCTCCTCCTCTTCTTCCTCCTCTTCTTCTTCTTCTTCTTCTTCTTCTTCTTCTTCTTCTTCTTCTTCTTCTTCTTCTTCTTCTTCTTCTTTTCTTTTCTTTTCTTTTCTTTTCTTTTCTTTCTTTCTTTCTTTCTTTCTTTCTTTCTTTCTTCTTTCTTCTTCTTTCTTCTTTCTTCTTTCTTCTTTCTTCTTTCTTTCTTCTTCTTCTGGCCAAACAAGAGATTGAACTCGGATCTTTGCATTTGCCAGGGAAGCACTTACTCTACTGGGCCATTTCCCTGGCCCCCATTTATCTTGTTTTGGGCATTTCTGAATAGTGTTTGAGAAACCTCAGTGTATTTTAGGGATGTACATGTTGTCAATACAGGGAAGTATTGAGGTCATTCTGCATCCTGATTTGTCCCACAACCCCACGTGGAATAGATCTAGAAGCTCTCTCTCTCTCAGTAATCATTCCCATGCCTAAAACAAATACTTTGCTCTGAGGAGGGATATGGAAGGAAGTACTGTATATGAAGGCTTCTGTCAGCACCTTCCATTTGAGCCAGTGGAACTTGCTTTTGCACATTAGAATTCAAGTTCCGTTCTCTTTCCAAGCCTCTCAGAGCCACCAGTTACCAGTGTTGGGTGCTGTGGCTCACTTCAGTAGCACATACTTAAATGGGAATGACACAGAGATCACTGTGGCCTCTGCACAAGGATGACACACAGATTTGTGAAGTGTTTGATACTTTTTTGACTGCCAAATCAGTCATCTTTGTGTTTAAAAAAAAAAAAAGCTTGCTTTTTGCTGTTCTCTTGCAGTTCAAGTGTGTATGAGCATCTCCCATGATCTGTTGCATGTGGCCCAAGGCTGTCAAATAGGTTTTCTCTTGCATGTCTATTTGATAGCCCCAGAAACATCCAATTATAGAAAAATACTGATGCTGCTTTCAAGGAGTGGGGAGTGTGTGGAAGGAAAGTTGATCTTACTACTTATGCTGGCTTTTTAATTCACCTTCAGGCTACCTATAAAAAATAACCTGAAAAGATACACCACCTTCACAGGTAGGAGTTAACTAGGTGCTTCGGTGTTTTAGTCCTCTTCCTTGCATACTGTTTGAGGTGTCACAGCACAGACCCAGATCATAGCCAGCGGATTCCAGATCATGGCCCGTGCTCTGCACATTGGTCACCTGAATTTGCTGGCTTTCTTTGCCTTCTTTGGGAGGAACTCACCAGGTAACTGCTTGAATTAATAAACTGATGAAAAAATAGAGCTTCTTTTAGAGGGACTTAGTAAAAAGGATTTAAGAGTAAAATTTTATATATCTTCATTTATAGTTTCCTACAGTCTGGAAAATATGATAAATAGTTGGCATAGGAAATAATTTGTCTTTTGTTCATAAATCACTCAAATAATAAGATATCAGTCAGCCTAAAACTTGCTTATTGATATGTACACTGATTTCTGCTGTGAACCAGAAAAATAAGTTCTCTTAGATGGTAGCAGTCTATGATTCTTTTAATGCTGATGGCCTTTTCCAGAGCCTTTAGACTATTTGACTCACTGCCATCCAGTTCCTTTTATGTGCTGAAATAACGGACTAATGTCACAAGGCAATTACCTCAGCATTTTCTTTGTAGGGGTTCTTTGTGTAGCACTGTTACTCATTCATACAGACGAACACAATGCAAAAACAAGAATTTTATTTCCTCTGAACTTTTTCTTCACTCTTCTGGACTTAACCTTTGCTGCATCTTGAGAGTAGGCTGGTGACCATGTAGACTCTCTAATGACCCGAAAGTATCTATCTCCCATAGGCCCTGCTTAACAGTGGCTATAGTAATTCTTCAGGCTAGAAGTCTATAAATTTACCCTCCTGTATTTCTGTATATGAAAATGCTGTCCATGATGAGATATTGTTATACTTTCAATATACTGTACCAGTACTTTGTGGAATGTTACGCCTATGCTTTGCCCCGTACTTTCACATATCAATAGCTGTCCTCCTTCCCTTATTTGTCTGAAATACTCTGTGAAATAGAAAGTTCTCTAGAGATGAAGCATTGAGCGGTTCATTCATAGTCAGTATGTGGTCTGCCCCAGGAAAAGTAAATCAGACTTCAGGTCTTCTTGATTGTGTATATTACTCACGTATCACGTGTATCTCGGTGTGGTGGTGCACACCTCTAATCCCAGCACTCTGAGATGTGTAGGCAGGATTGCAAATTCAATCCTAGTCTAGGTAAGTTAGCAATTTAGTGAGAACTTGTCTCAAAATGAAAAATAAAGAGGATTTAGTCCCTAGTACGGAAAACAAAATCATATGTAGGAAATACTTTTTACTTGCTAGATGCTTGTGTATGTATGTAGGGTTCTAGAATGGGAAATGTTCCCAACAAGTTAAATAGCATTTTCTTTTCTTTCTTTTTTTTTAAATGAATTTTTTTTTTTTTTTTTTTTTTTTTTTTGACAGAACCAGGGATTGAACTCAGGCCCTTGCGCTTGCCAGGGAAGCGCTTATTCCACTGAGCCATCTCCCCGGCCCCTAAATAGCATTTTCTTTTGAGAACTTATAGCCCAAAAACACATACCTCTATAAATGTGCTCTAATTAATTGACATTGTTTTAATAGCATACTTTCATTATTGGTATGGATTATGAACAAAGATCTAGAGTTACTTGGAGAAAATGAATAGTCAGTATTCTTTAAGCAGAAGTACAGTAAGAAGCCACTTCTCTGCAGTGTGT